CTGTTAATACAGTCATTGAAAATTTTTCTCTGTATTGTTCTCCAGTTCCTTTACCAACCTTACATACAGGATAAATATTTCATATCTTCATATGTAAGAAACTAGAATAATATGTTTCTCCATTAATATGAAGATCATGGGATAACCTTAATTTTTATATATATTGCATGGCTATTTTGAAATAAATAATCAAATTAATCTGATGATATTGAGGATAATTTTTAATGTATTAGAGTTTAGTTAAAAGTCACATTAAAATTAAATTTGTGCATTGTGTTTTATATATAAAAATTGACAAATAATAATGCTATGAACTGCAAAAATATCACAGAATATGGCGAATATAATATATTAAGTAGTACTATTCCTGGCTTAGCAACCAGATATTTCTTGCCACAATTGGAACCCACTCTGCTTAATCACAATGGTTACTACATTCAGTATTATTGCACATCATCAAAATACACTGTAAACTTAGCAATACGCCCAGTGAGATAAAAAAGAATATCTGATTTTCATGTACACAAAAGACAAGATCAGCTGTGCAAAAGGTTCTCTCCCTTTGTTACAAAGATCACCTTACTTAAACTTAAAAGGGTGAACAGCAAAATGTACATTCTGAGAGGCTTCATATTAATGCGCTATGATCCTCCTAATTTCATTTATATTTTTTTGTACTTCCCACTTTCTCCCAGAACACTGAATGTTGAAGTCAGTACTGAAGCTCACAGCCCAACTTTCCTTGAGAAGTCAAGAAATGAAGAGTACCTAAACTCAAATCTATGAAATTATAATGACTAGCAGAATACATCATTTATGAGCTAAATATTATGGTTCAATATGAACATTTGTGATAATGATAATGATAATGAACATTTTGACTGTTATTTTGAACACTGTCCATTGTTCCAGGTCCTTCAAACCATAGCATGTTTTAGATTAGTTCTGCCTCTTTCTTCAAGTGACAGGATGAAGCGAGGAATAATACTACCCACAGCAGAACTAGTCTCAGACCCTAGTCGCCTGAAGAAGGAAACCAGGTCCTGAAATGTGGTTGTAAAATAAGCTGGTCAGTCAAAAAATGCTACTAAGTGCTCCTTCATGTGCTTCCAGTCTAGTTCTGAAATCCCTGTTCTGCACTTCTTTTCTCTAACAGTACACAGTTTCCCCTTCCCCCTTGTCATCTTTATTGTCTTATTTGTATTGGTGTACACAGTAGTTAGATTTCTTGGCTGGTATGTAACATTCTAGATGTCCAAATAACTTCTTCTCATTCAAGAGACTTTATGAAAGTACTCGTACTATTCTTTATAGACATAATGTAATGAATGGTGGTTAAACCTCCAAGCAAGCACACAGCAACGTATTAAACTCATAATCAGTCTAAGCAAGGCTGTGTCAATCTGTTGTAGTGATGTTATTTCCACAGAGAAACCAAGTGCAGAACTAAATATAGTTAATTATGAACTGAATCAGAAAATTGTAGCAATAACCGGAAATGTTTCTGTCAGTTTCACATCGTCCATCAGTAGCTATTAGAGCATCATAACTCAATTTCCTAGTAATGATACTGCAAAATAATGATACTCATATAAGTTAAGCAATTTTATTTGCTAAAACCAAAAGAAGGTTTGTATACATGTACACCAAATAAAATATTTTGTATTCAAAATATGTTATGCTGCCTTCATTCCTCTCTTCATTATTTTGCACTACTATTTCTTGCATATCCTTACTTATCCTTCATCACTCAACAAAAATAGAAGACATAAGACAAGAACTACCTGAACTAGGACACGGAGTCAGAAATATAATCAACGTACATCATAAAGCTACTAAAGAGCCATTGATCCTATTCTTTGTAGACCTAGAACCAGCCCAAAACAACAGAAAGATCTATGAAACAACAGGACTCCAGAATAGAATAGTAAAAATAGAACCTCCACACTCAAACAAAATAAATATAATCCAATGTACAAGATGTCAACAGTACGGCCACACAAAAACATACTGCAATAAGCCATACGTATGCATCAAATGCGGCTGCCCACACAATATGACAAACTGCAAGAAGACAAAGGAAACACCAGCCAGATGCGCACTACGTGGAGGAAACCGCCCCGAAAACTACAGATGATGTGAACACTTTCATAAGCTAACCAAAGGTACCAGCAGAAGTTTTTCCCAAAGACTCTCTACTCCAGAAATCTACACAAATGAATCCTACACAAGAAATATACAATCTCTAGAAATAACCCAACCCAGAAGCTACACAGAAATCACAAAGCGAAATTTAACCTAAACAGAAGAAACAACTTACATACTAGCAAAATTCCTAGATGAATTCAAACATTTAATTTAACAATTATTACAACATAATACTGTGGTACTATACATGCTAACAACACTTGTCAACAAAACGAAATAAATGGCCAAATTCCTACGAATAGCCCAGTGGAACGCCAATGGACTTATCACCAAGAAGATATAAAAATATTTCTAAACATAAACTCAATCGACATCCTGCTAATCAGCGAAACCCACTTCACCAGCAGAAGCTACTTCAATATCCCCAAATACAAGCCTTACCACACAAACCACCCTGACGACACAGCCCATGGAGGCACTGCAATCCTAATCAAAGCAAAAATCGAACATTATGAACTACCAAAATATGAAAATCACATACAAGCCACTTCGATCAAAGTCAAAACATTTCCTTATGCTCTCACCATTACCACGGTCTATTGTCCTCCCTCCTATAACCTCAAGAGAAATCACTTTGAGTCATTTTTCCAAACCCTGGGTACAAAATTTATAGCTGGTGGAGACTACAACAGTAAGCATTCATCTTGAGGCTCAAGACTCATAACAACAAAAGCAGAGTAATACTCAAGACAATCCAAAACAACAATTACTCCATCATATCAACTGGAACACCAACATACTGGCCCACCGATGGAAATAATATTCCTGACTTACTAGACTTCTTCATAACAAACGGCATCCCACCTAACAACACAAATGAAACTGCAAATCTCGACCTCCAATCATTGCAACAATAAGCACATCAGTTGTACTAAGGAAATCCAAGCCCAGACTTCACAACTCCAAAACAAACTGGGATCTCTTCAGGAAAATAATAGAAGACAACATAAAACTAAAAATTAATCTGAAAGAACCAAATGCCATAGAAAACGAATGTAAAAACTTCATCACCCTAATACAAGAAGCCTCCAAAACAGCAGCCCCCATAAATGATCCAAAGAACCCTACAAATAACATACCATTAAGAATAAAAAAGAGAAGAGCCAGATCAACATGGCAGAAGACTCGCACTCCGGAAAACAGAGCAAAATACAACAAAATCAGCAGTAAGCTAAAAATGCAATTACAAGAACTAAAGAACGAATCATTCAAGAACTATATCGCAAGCCTCACAAGACAAGACAATTGCATCTGGAAAGCAATAAGAAACCAAAGAAAGCCCATATCAGCATCACCACCAGGAAACTGGGCAAGAAGCGACAAAGAAAAACCTGACCTATTTGCACAACATCTACAGGAAGTGTTCACCCCACACAACAACAATCAAGTACAAGAAGTAAACTCACTTCTAAATGAACCCATACAAAGACACCAAAGACCAAAGCTCTTTACCCTAAAGGAAATGCAAGAAGTAATAAAAACTCTAAAGCCAAAAAAGGCACCAGGCCTTTTTTACTTATGTTATTTTTGATGTGAGGTTGTTGATATTTGACATGTCCAATTGTAATTCTCTACAGCTATGGATGAAATAATAATAATAATAATAATAATAATAATAATAATAATAAATAGCACAGCCATAATACTAAAACATTTACCAAGAAAAAGCCAAATAAAACTCCTATACATATTTAACACCATACTTAGACTGGACTATTGGCCTCATCCGCTCAAAATCGCCCATATCATAATGGTCTTGAAACTAGGCAAAAATCCAACTAATGTCATATCCTACCTACCAATAAGCCTTCTACCCACAATTTCAGAAGTCCTCGAAAAACTAATACTCAACAAAATAAATCAAGAATCAAACCCACAAACACAGATACCAGACCACCAGTTTGGTTTTCGACAAGCCCACTCAACCATCCAACAAAGTCATCACATAGCAAATACCATAACAAACGCGCTAAATAACAAACAACACTGTGCTGCAGAATTTTTAGATATAGCCCAGGCTTTTGACAAAGTCTGGCATCCTGGCTTACTTTACAAAATAAAACGAATCTTCCCAACAAATTATTACAGCCTACTCAAGTCATATTTAAGCGAAAGATTTTTCAAAGTCAAAATAAATGAGGAAATATCAAACCCACTCAAACCACTCAAACCCACCAAACCACTCAGGGGTGCCGCAAGGAAGCTTACTAAGTCCACTACGATACACTCTCTACACACATGATCCACCCACAACAAAAGAAACGATAATAGGAGCTTTTGCAGATGACACTGCTATCTTTGCTACCCACAGCAATCCATCCACAGCCTCCTCTCATCTACAGGATCATCTAATCCTCATAGAAGAATGGCTGAACAAATGGAAAATCAAGGTAAACGAATCAAAGTCCACACAAACAACTTTCACCCTTCGAAAGGGCATTTGCCCCACAGTGCAAATAAATCACATCAACATACAACCAAAAGAACAGGTCAAATACCTAGCAATAACCTTTGACAACAAACTAAACTGGAGACAACACATAATCAAGAAAAGAAAACAGATGGACCAAAAAACCAAAGAACTCAACTGGCTCATAGGAAGAAAATCCCACCTCTCCATCGAAAACAAGTTACTAATCTACAAAATGGTCATCAAGCCTATATGAACATAGGGCATAGAACTCTGGGGCTGCGCCAGTAAATCCAACATCGCCATTATACAGCGTGCCCAGTCCAAAATACTCCGATCCATCACGAACGCACCAGGGTATGTATCCAACCACACCCTACATACAGATCTAAAAACTCCTTACGTAACAGAAGTCATCCGAGAAAACAGCACCAAGTACTTCAACAAACTAGAAAAGCACTCCAACCCACTACTTCAACCACTACTACAACCTCACCAAAATCGAAGACTCAAAAGAATTTGGCCATCAGATCTAACAAACTGAGGAAAACATCACTGGATGTTTATTCCGTACACGCCAGAAGAGTGTACATTAAATAGCTATTGAATTGTACACCAGTCAGCACATTGACTTACAGATTGTACAGTCTGATTGTCAGTAAAGGAGAGAAATAAAAAAAAAAAACCTTATTTATATTACCAGGTACAAAAACATAAATTTTCTAGATGAAGAAGAGTGAAGGGTGACTAGCAGAAAAGCAGCAGAAGTAGTATTTGAAAACCACAATCACAGTTTCAGTAAATGTTTTTGTTGATTCTGTATACTCGGAGGGGGGTTAAATTTTTTGGGACTTGCTTGTAGTGCAAGAGTACCTAGTTACAATACCAGACAAAGCAGCTCTTTTAAATAACTCCCTGTCAATAAGACCTGAAGGTTCAACAATATTAACTCTTTGCATACCCTGAACTGATTAAATAGTCTTACCATTCCTCAGTGACTCAGTGCGAATCACGTGGTACAACATTTCTGCAGATAGATGGCATCAAGTGTAACATATCAATATATACTGAAGAGAACAGATTACCTATTGTTACAAACAACTGTGGTCGTTAGAAGGTAATCTGTGAAAGTGTCCTGTGTTTTTCCTTGCAATTGCATTTACCCCAAGGAGCCTTGGCGTTTCTAGAAGGTGGTTCTGTGGTGGGACTTGGCAGTCAAAGGGATAATAATAAAGCCTGGGCCAGCTGATTCAGTTCACATCCCCACAACAAATATTTGCTGATTATAAAGCATCTCACCTAACTTCATACCTTTGTGTCTAATATAAAAATTGTTTCAGTGACACACACATATATGTATAATGTATGCTGTCTAGGGCTGGAATATTTGGAATCAGAACACATTCCCTGCTACAAAACGGCTAGCAATTCCTAGGCAGCTTAGCCTACAAAATTGTTGCCCCAGAAACGAAAATCTAATAGTGGAGTCTCCACCATTACGTACAAACTGTTAGAGGCAGACACATATTCCCATGTTCATTGCATAACAGCAGACGGAATTAACCCTTCAACAAGGTATTCCCTATTCAATCTGAGGGCAAGCGATAACAGTCCAATGTCAGCCAGAGACCAGCGAAGTTTGTATTCAACTTTAGCACGAAAGAGTCCTTATNAATAATAAAAAGTGACCTACAAATTGTTACACTCGACGGACTTTCTATTAGCTTTCTGAAGGTATTCCCTATTCAATCTGAGGGCAAGCGATAACAGTCCAATGTCAGCCAGAGACCAGCGAAGTTTGTATTCAACTTTAGCACGAAAGAGTCCTTATCCAACTAGAGCATAAGTATTGTAACACTGGAGAAGAAACATCCAAGGGCCTTAGAAGTGGAGAATAACTGTCAGTGCGAGTGTAAAAATGACTGTCCAATAAAGGTATTCGTTCAAATTCAAGAACCCACACAATCTCTTGTCACATTGCCTAGCAAACACAAGACGTGTATATATATTCAGTTGACATTTAGACTTTCTGGTTAGAGAGTCACATTTAAAAAGGGGTCATGTGAGATCCTACAGAACAGCACATGAATACTCTTCAGTGCTCAATCTAATTCATGAAGAGTATGTTTGATTAATTCTTTCAGTTAAATTTCCATTCATTAGTGGTCAGGATAACTGGTTGGCTGCTTCAGCATTTTGCCAAGAAATCCTGCCTCAAAGAACTGACCATTATGATTTTTATATATTTTAGTCTGAGCTGAACAGTGCAAGAAACATGTACTGCCATCTCTCAAGAACTATTATGAATATTAAAGAACAAAAGTAGCATGTTTCCTTAAACATATGTGAAGAGAAGTACTTCTCTTGAAATGAAAATCAGCATGGAGAGGATTAAGAATGAAGCCACAATCATTAAATGGTTTAAGATAATCATCAGGAAGGCAGGCAAGATGGCCTCATGAAAGGAAACCTGCACCTTGCAAATTTGTTAGACAATGCATTCCCTTGTTCATAACTGTTTAGTGTAGCCACATATCCTATCCATGATATTAATAAGCATGCTCTTACTTATAGTAATATTATGTTGGATATTGCTCATTATCTGACCTAATTAAACAAGAACAATATTTAAGGGGTAAGCTCTACTCCCATCTTCAGCCAATTAGTTATCACTATGCTATTGTTCAGATGGTTAAGTGCTGGCTACTTGCTGCGGCAGCCTGGGGTTCAAGCCCAGGTCAAGTCATGTGGGGTTCATGGTGGACATAGTGGCAATGGGGCAGTTCTTCTCCAAGACTTTCAGTTCCCTCTGCCAATTCTCTTTCCACCAACTGCTCCACACTCATCATCCATCATCTTGGGCTGGTACAGCAGGTCAAATAGTGACTGTTGTACCAAGTGGACTCAGTCTCACCCCAATTATTATTATTTAGATAAATTTGTTACCTTAAGATTAGTGGTGACAGTTCAGACAGCACTCAGAATTTTGTATATATGTCTAGAATTAGCCTAGTATTCAAAATGTCGTGGATTAGCTCCAATCATCACTACCATCTTATAATAATATACTGACAACCCACCATCTGAAGACAGCGGTATAGCCAGCTCCAAAAAGAACATATATACAAAATATACCTCATATGATGTATAATATCCAATATAATTTTATTTGTTTCATTCTGGTCCGTCACACTAACAATATTATAAAAAGATAAAACAGATCCGTCCCATGTGACTGGTGAAGAATTGAAATAAGAAAAATCTTCACCAGTCACACTGGGTGGAACTGTTTTTATCTTTTTTATAATCCAATATAATATTGATTCAATAACTCAACCAATATAAATTTTTTTTAAGAATCATGAATGCACCTTCTTATTTTCCTATATATATCTCTATTTATTCTGAAGTATATTCCTTATCACATGTTACAAGTTCGCAGTTTACTGAGAAAACCCAACAACATTTCACTAACTGTTTACACAACAGAAAATTGTTTTTAGTTCAGTAACATCATACTGTTCCCCAGAGTTTAAAAATTGCTAGAATATTTGTACTTCCAGTGCATGAATAAAAATAAGAAAATGAATTTAATCTATGCATTCTCATTTATTCCCTATAGTTTTGTCTTTATATGCCCTTCTTGGCTTTTAACCATGCATTTATTTTCAGTGGTAACTGATGTCTCTATAACTGCAGTCCATTTTCATATAAACTGCAATGATGAACCATGGTATAGAAAATATTTAATGCAGAAATGAAACTGCATGACGAACCAGTACTACAGAATTGTATTCTCTCTTTATTCCTCATATCAACACAACAGAAATACACAGGTGTGGTTCACCTAGTCCCCGATCTAATGCTCAAGAGATTCAGAAATGTTGTAGTGTATGTTACACAATGTATACATCTCATTCCAAACAAAAGATTACAGCTCTTAGGGAGAAAACATTTCTTATAATCATCCACTTTTAGTGATATCATGGAATACTACTATGCAGGTTTTGAAGCACATTACTAGCAAGACAAGAGCATTCAGTATAAAAAGTTAGACAAGGAAAGGACCTTAATTTCTGTTGTTCTGTAGTTTCATCAATTTCTTAAAATAACTGAGGACTCACTTCTTGCCCCAGACACTTCAAATAAGCTGCAAACATTTTTCTGAAAATTCTCAGACTGCTTCTGTGAAGGCTTCAAACTTAGAACATTCATGGCTGCTCATAGAAAGTTTCTTGATGTATTAAGACTTTTGCCCGCAGGGCTATTATGAGAGCAAGCCTGAATTAAGAGGAGAATAATATTCATAGACCAATGATGGGAAGACAACAGAAATTCACACTAGACATATGACAGTAAGACCAAGGCCCAACATTCCATTTTTTCATGTGGACAGTATAATCATAATGTCTTTTGTAATATTCTACAAATATTATTTTGAGTTTACTCTGCCCTACTGTGTGCAGGTAAACTCTTAATATGTTCCCTCTTCACACCACATAAAAACATGTGCTTGTCAACTATTTTGTCATGTTTATATGCATTATGCATATGCTGATACATTTGCATGTTTTCCTTCTACATTTTTCACAGAACCACATTTTTTACTATCCGAGCACAACTGAATTTTTCACATATAGTGAACTTAGAAGTATATTTCAAGCACCATGCAACATTCAAATATTTGAAGATGCTATGAAGAGTATCAACTTAATCCCAATTTTTAAAAATATTTAAATTGAACATCGGCAGTCACTCTCAAGTCCGCAGTTTTCTTCCCAAAACTTTTCTTTTCATTAGCCTTTGTTTCCTATTAAACATAGTAAAACTAACGGCAATAAAAGAAAATGAAATTGATAGTACATTTCCTTTGGTACTTATTACAGTAATTTTTGAAGACCTACATGTATAATTAACACAGAATGAAACTCATTTGTTTCCATTTTGTCACAAAATTGTTTTTTGCAAAACTTGCCAAACAGTGCAATAACTTAGTACAATAACAATGATAACAACAACAATGATGGCGCTGATGATGACAATTATGATGATATTGATGTACATGAACATTGTTATATAAAAGGAATCAGCAGATAAAGGGCTCGACAATTTTTATAGCGTACAGAGCGGTTTCTTTATTATGGTTATAATACCTTATAAATCAACATGCCTACTAAAATATTTATCTCACCCTCTGTCATCTAAAATTATCAATCATAACTGAAATTAAAGAAGCTCAAAACTGGAATCCATTGAGAGTATTGGCTACTAAAAATAAGAAACTCTGTAAAACAGGTTTTAATAGATATTTAAAAACAATAGAACCTATATGGATCTAAGAAACATGAAGCTGTGAAGCACTGAAAATGAACATATCATTCACAAACATGGTGCAAAACGTACTTGATACAGTAGAAGCTCAGTCATATGTTAGAAGAGAACTAATCCTGAGTAGGAAGGAGGTTAAGAAGGCAAGAAGTTTTCATCATGGAACAAATGCTGTTTGCAAAAGGGTCCATGTCAAAATATTAAATTGAATAATCATGGGTATATCCTTAGTCCCAGTGGCGTGCAGTACTATTATTGGTAAGGGAAGCAGTGGTATCTAATAAACGAACTGATAGCAATCAACTCACCAAAATTTACGTCACTTATTGAGTCAATAAGGTCGTTTTGTATTCTGTTCGATAAACCTGTAAATACTGTACTGTTTTCAAGGTGAACATTGAGTTTATGATCATATTTCCACAAGTGAACTAATTCCACATAATTACCTCAGTCGATAGAATCCACGCTTTCATCATGACCACGGAGGCCAAGTTGCCTCTTTCCTAAATGGCAGATGATATAAATCAAGCATTTCATTATTTCTCTATTTTCTTTCACGTTTTCATTATGCTGTAGTATCGTCAGACGCTTTTGATTGTCAAGTTGATAGTCAATTCGAGATTTCCCGATCATAACAAGTTACACTGTTGAAATAATGTGAGTCTGAGAGTTCTCACGTCGTTTCAATGCTTTATGAAGATTGTTGATATCACTAAACCTAGTCTTGTTCCATACATTTTCTTTTTCATTGAGAAACAATAGACATGCCAACAAAACAGCTTTCCTATATTACGGCAACCGAATAGCCACTATGTTTTAGAATACTGTTCCAAATTAAATTTCCTCACACATAATTTGGTTTGTGCTTTAAGTTATGGTAACTCGCATGTCGGTCCTCCTCTTTCTATAATTATTTTATTTGCCAAAAGTCCCCGCTATTTAACGTCCGTTTTAAAAGGCTTTCGAATGCACAGTCACAGTCACGTTGTCTGCCAGCATTCCTTTTAGCTGTGCCCTGTGCGTGTAGTCTATCAATCCCCTGCCAGTTGTACCACAATATTACACTTACTTCCCTTAAACGCAGAGAGCTTCTTTCTGATGCGACAAAATACGATCACAAATACAATCTTACGCCATTTAAATATGCACTTACAATATTTTAATAAAACTTGATGCTATCTATGACGCCCAACAAGACCGAAATCACACATAAGCAGTTAATTTTTACATAACCATCGAAAAAACACACTCCTTCGCTTCCATATCACAGACATTAGCCAGAAAACCGAAAGTTTCTTCCCTTCCCACTTCGGGTGAGACGAATTCGTATGAAGTTTAACGAAAGGAAACTTGGTCCGTCCCACCAAGCAGGGAAAAGGAACAGTCGGAGAAGGCATGTGGCCTTGACCATGACTACGCGCTAAAATTTTCAGAACATGAAAATATTCACATCCTTATTATTCAAATTGAATTATTATTGATGACTTTTTTCTTTTCTTTTCTTAACTACAGAAGCAATGCTTCCCTTGCTTCCATGCACAGCACGCCACTACTTAGTCCAGAGTTCTGCCTGCCATTATTTCTCAGGAAACAAACTGATCAGTCAGGTCTTATATACACATGTAGGTCAAGTCTTGATAATGGGAATCATTTTTGAACCCCGGTATATGCGAGATAGTCTTGCAAGACCATGTGGCTGGTAAGCAATATACTGAATTGCTTCAAGATTACCTCTTACAGATGATGGAAATCATGGAGATGTTCTACACAAAAATTCTGTCACTAAACTTAGTTACTCTCGCAGCTTGTGCCACTCTGCGATCTGACGACGAGGGGAGTTGCACACTTCATTCCAGTGATGCAATGCAGACCCTGTGCTCTTGGCTGCTCCTAACTCAAGTCTTCCAATTACCTAAACATAAAGCACATCAATTCTTTCAGAGAGAATAATAATGAACTATAAATTAATTTTCACCTTCTTTTCTTATTATTTTTAGAGTGGAACTCCGCTTTAAGGTTTCATGTGGGGTCCAATGGATTTGTACACTAAACTGAAGAAAATCTTAAATGGAAGTAATTTAACGTCGAGATTAATTCACTTTGGAACACTGAAACTGAATTCACCTGGTTTGAATTATTAGTCATATTTCTAAAAATCACTCTGGTGTAACTTCATCACCAAAGAATGCACACTGACATTTTATTTATTTATTCTTGAATTATTAACTGATATTTCAATTCATGCTACATGTTATAGCATCAAATGATAGGATGATTAATGATAATAAATTGTAGAGTATGTGGAACGAGGCAATCATGTCCTTATTTTAGGTATTATCTCAGTACTTGTCTGGAGCGACTGAGGAAACCATATAGAGCATCAATCAGGATTGTTGGTATTGGGACCTAATGTTTGGACCCAGGACCTCCTGAATAAACAAACAAACTCCGTGGCCTATAGTCTGCAAGCGAACTACACCGACCAAGCAACTGCCGCTTGTCAGCGAAGTTAGTGCCAACTTTAGTGGATAAAAGGTGTCACGTGGTCAGTGCAAGGGAATCCCATGGCTTTTAATTTCGGTTTTCTACAACGGAGCCGATATTTCTTGAAATAGCTCCTCAATTATTCCCACGAGGCTGAGTGGACCCTGTTCCACACCCACTACTTCTCAGAGAATCTGGTAGCGCCGGGAATCGAACCTGGGACCTCTGAATCTGTAGGCAGGAACTCTGACCACTAGACCACAGAGGTGGTCGGACCTCCTGAATGCAAAGGAGAAATGCTAACCATTTGATTGAAACATTCAGCATAGAGAATATTATGTTTTGTTATATGCGAAGGGAATAGAAACACCAACTCAAAAGGCTATTCAGTTTGTTTCAGATTCTGTATGTAGTTTCTGTCAAGATTGACTGCACAAAACAAATCTCAGTACCTCATTCTTTGTGACTCGGTCCCAGTCAAGCAGCAGGAATTCAAGGCTAACGTTGTCCAGACCCTCAGTACCCACAGGAATATCAAACACAAACGATTCATTGAACACTGGGTTCAGTGTGCGTTTCTTGACGTGAGTCTTTTTCTTGGCTATTCGCTGGCTATTGTACAACAGATACATCTTCACATAAGGATCTGAAACCACATGAGAAGAAAACTATTTTGTATCACTATTGAAGAATTGAAGCAAATATTAAAATTATCTATGACATCAAGCCATTTACCAACTATTTAACTGAAATTCTTCTTTATTTTGTAAGAGGTAAAGATAACACAATACTACAAATTTTTATTTTTTAATAATGTACAAAATAAACTCTTTTCAAATAAATTTGATTTGGTTCATCCTCGTCCATCACACTAGCGATATTATAAAAGATTATCAACTCCATCCAGTGTGACTGATAAAATGTTTTCGTTTCTCTCCTTTTTAATCTTTAATCCTTGACATATTTCGGTCTTAGGGACCATTTTCAGATGGATATATCAATACAGGCAGAAAGTACTATTACAATGTGTTTTGTCAATATCAATGCATACATACAATATCATTACATCGCCATGACTGTAAAATCTGATCCTTTAACAACTACAGCGACGTACATGAATATGTGGGATTGTCAATGTTCTAAAATATAACCAGGTAAAACTGTAACAATTGTATAAATTGAATGTACAGAATAGCTGCGAAGCTATGCGGAATGTCAAAAGTTGGCTGGCCCTGAAAAGGGCAGTTTGCTCCACCATGAGTGCGCTTGTAGAATATGCTCCTTTGTAGTAGACCAAGTCTTTATGGCCGTTCACTAGTTTGTCAGGATGGTTATGTGTTGGTGGGTGCGCCTGTAGGAACAGCTGCCTACAGCGCGATTGCTGGAGAGTTGCGGCAACTAAGTTAGCTGCCTGGTCATAGAGAGAGGTTGCTGGAGAGTTGTGGCAACTATGTTAGCTGCCTGGTCGCAGAGCAAGGTTGCTGGAGAGTTGCGGCAAATATGTTAGCTGCCTGATCGCAGAGCGTTCTTGCTGGAAAGTTGCGGCAGCTACGTTAGCTGTCTGATACCAGTGAAGAGCTGATGACTCTGATGACTGACCACTCTGAACTGAACGTGATCACTGATGATTGCAAGTCGAAGTCAAAGTCAAAGTCATGTCACAGCTGACGGTCAGTCAGGCTGTCTGTCTTATTGTCGAGCCCCAGCTGGGTCTCATGGACAGATATTTCTTTACTGTCTTGTCTGTCGGGCGCCCCCTCTGACGAGAGGCCAGGTCTGTCATTTGTCAGTCAGTCTGTATTAATATGTCCACTGTCTGTATTTACATAGATTTACAATACACACTAATTTCTTACGTTTATGTACAATATATACAAGGCCTCTGTTAGTCCAGGCTCGGAACAGCAGATTATGCCCTATTTCTAGCAGTATTAGCTACCACGGCAGTCTAGTCACTTGAACGGTCGTATGCCTGACCGCCGCCAAGTTTAAGCCTCTTATACTTTCTGTGTCGGGCCTCGCCTTGTCCGATGTTGCGAACATTCTCATTATCATGATTTTGTATGACTTCTGCTTGTTGCCTGACTAATTTTGTTATGTAATCATACACATATGGGATTTTGAATGCCATGTGCAAATCGCGGACCGGTGTGCGCCTTGGAAAATTGCCAATGGTGCGGAGAACCTTGTTTTGCAGGCGCTGCAATTTCACTAGATGGGTGTCTGCCGCAAACTCCCAGGCGGGACTAGCATAAGTCATTA